CTGTTTTGTGTGCGGTCAGAAGGGTCATTTGGCAAGAGATTGCAGATCCAGAAGTGACAGTGGTCAATCTGGTGCTCGAGGCAGTGGCTCGAATGAAGCAAGTGGTCCAACTTCAAGGAAGCAAGGGTGCTTCAAGTGTGGACAACAAGGACACTTTGCAAGGGACTGCAAGCAGGCAAAGACAGGGTTCTTCAGTTGTTGTGCAACAACCTCAATGAAGGGAGATGATCTCATTGTGGATACGGGATGCACCGATCATGTAGTGCGCGACAAGGCTGTCTTCTCAAGCTTTGAGAAATGGGATGAGGGGACAACAGTTGAGAATCCGAACGGTACAATATCAAAGATTGAGGGCATAGGCTCGGTGGAAGTGGACATACGAGACTGTCAAGATGTGACGAGGAGCTACACTTTCCACAATGTGCTGTTTGTGCCGAGCTACAACGTGAATCTGATGAGTGTGAGCTCAGCAATAGCTAGAGGGTCTAGTTTCAGCTTTACATCAGACTCTTCTCATCTTGTGGCACCGGATGGTCGACGGCTACCAGTGAAGCAGCGCGGCAAGCTTTTCTTCCTGGAGTGCAAGTTCAAGAGGAACGCGATGACTCTGGCTACGAAAGCGAAGATGGAGACAAGTAGTGCAATGCTGTGGCACCGAAGGCTGGGGCATCTCAACAAGCATGATCTAATATCAGTTGTTGATGTCGGCGAGCTAGGGTTCTGCGAAGTGTGCACAGCTTCGAAGATGCACGAAGTAGCAATGCCAAAGAAGACAGAGAACAGGGCAACTGCAGTGGGGCAGCGGGTCTTCAGCGACATCCAGGGACCATTTGAAGTTGCGAGCATGCATGGAGCGCGCTATGCCGTGAGCTTCATTGATGACTTCAGCCGTCTGGCAGTGGTCAAGTACCTGGTTAAGAAGAGCGATACTCTTTCGAAGTTCAAAGACTTTGTAGCTGAGCACGGAACACCGAAGTGCTTGAGAACTGACAACGGAGGTGAGTATTCGTCGAATGCTTTTCGGATGTTCTGTAGAGAAATGCAGGTGAAACAGGAGTTTACAGTACCTAATACTCCGCAACAGAATGGCGTGGCAGAGAGGTACAACAGGGTGATAACTGAGATGACTCGATGTCTACTGGCCGATGCAAAGCTCTCAAAGATGTTCTGGGTACGAGCAATGTCAACGGCAGTCAGGGTTCGCAACTTGTGTCCTACATCCAGCAATGAGCATCGCATTTCATCAATGGAGATGCATTATGGGAAGCCATCGAAAGTCAACTACCTGCGAGTGTTCGGATGCCTGGCGTACTACCTGGACAGAGGAAACCGGCGGAAACTGGATCCGAAAGGCAAGAAGAGCAAGTTCATTGGTTATGACGAGGAGAGCAAAGCCTACTTGCTGATGGACCTGGAGACAAAGCGAGTGGTACGAGCAAGAAGCGTGACGTTCAATGAAGACATCATTCCAGACGACTTTCTGGTAGACAGTGAGCAGTCACAAACACTGGGTCTATCAATCGAGGGATGCATTGATGTAGAGGAAACTAGCACGAAGACCATCACTGAGTCTACCAATAAAGCGAATGATAGTGGAGCAGCAGCTTCAGTGGGGGTTACGGAAGATGACCCAGTCGAGACTGAAGAATTGGAACCACCTTCCACAGAGCCTCCAGAGCAGAGGCCAACAGAGATTCCAGAGCAGCGGTCAACTAGAACGCGGAACCCTCCCATCCGATACGGACTGGCTTACACTCATGCTTCAGTGATAGCACAAGAGCCAAGAAGCTACTTGGAAGCAGTATCTGGACCAGAAAGGGAGCAGTGGCTAGCAGCTATGGCTTTGGAGGTGCAGTCACTGAAGGCAATGGGCACCTGGACACTTGTTGATAGACCAAATTCTCGCAAGGTCATTCCTGGACGCTGGGTGCTTGCTGTGAAGAGAGATGCAATGGGACAAGTGGAGCGGTTTAAAGCCAGATACGTGGTGAAGGGTTTTATGCAAGTGGAAGGACTGGACTTCAATGAGACCTTTGCGCCAACCTGTAAACCAGAAACAAAGAGAATACTACTGGCTTTGGGAGCGCAAGATGATCTTGTACTTCATCAGATGGACGTGAAGTCAGCCTTCCTCAACTCGCCGTTAACAGAAACTGTGTATATGGAACAGCCCGAGGGGTTCAGCAGCGGGGACAACCAAGTGTGTTTGCTACAACGCAGTATCTATGGGCTGAAGCAGGCAGGAAGGGACTGGTACCAGACGCTGAGCACGTTTCTTCTGGAGACTGGTTTCACTCGAAGCACCAATGACTTCTGTTTGTTCACGATGAGGGGAATGGATGATGCTATGATCTATGTTCTAGTATGGGTGGATGATATCATCATTGGCTGCAAACTGCAAGCAGAAGTTGACAGGGTGAGGGACCGATTCACTGACCGATTCAAGATGGATGATCGCGGTCCATTAGCCTGGTTTTTGAAAATGCAGGTCAAACGGGCACCTGGTTCTGTCACTGTGAATCAGTCTCGATACATTGAAGACTGCTTGGAGCGCTTTGGGTTGGCTGACTGCAAACCAGTAGGGACACCAGCTGATATCAGCACTCAGTTGACGAAGAAGGACTGCCCTGGAGCGGGCTCAGAAGAAGCAGTGGCAATGCAGCGTGAGGACTACAGAGGCATAGTGGGCTCGTTATTGTACATAGCCAAGCAAACGAGGCCAGACATCCTAGCTACTGTGACTCAACTTTCACGGTTTCTGGAGAATCCTGGGAGAACACACTGGGTGGCTGCTAAGAGAGTACTGCGATACCTGAAAGGAACCAAAGATCTGGAGCTGTGCTACATCAAAGATCCTGATGGGTTCAACCTTTATGGTTCAGCAGATGCTGACTGGGCTGGTGACGTTGATGACAGAAGGTCAACAACAGGCTACAGTTTTCATGTGCAGCGGTCAGGAGCAGCAATCAGCTGGAGTACCAAGAAGCAACCTACTGCAGCAATATCTACCAGCGAAGCTGAGTATCAAGCAATGGCAGCGGCTGTTCAGGAAGGCCTCTACTTACGATCCCTCCTCAATGAGATGGATATGACGTGTGATGGTCCAACTGATCAACGAGGACAACCAGAGCTGCATCAAGATGTGCAAAAATCCCGTAATGCAGAAGCGTACAAAGCACATTGATGTCAAGTATCACTTTGTCCGAGAGCGGGTCGAGGATGGAACATTTGCGCTCGAGTACTGTCCAACCGAAAACATGGAGGCTGACTTGTTGACGAAATCCCTGAGCAAGGCAAAGGTGGATCAACATCGTCGAACGCTGATGGGTTGCAGCCTGACATTGGACAAAGCAGCCAATTCAGCCTGAGTGGGGGTGTTGAGGACAGACGAGCTCAATGCCAGACTAGTGAAATACCAGACCAAACTCAAGGTCAGACTTGAGCAATAGAAACCTAATTAAAGGTCAACTGGTATAAAACTCAATGCACTCAGACAAGGTCAACTGGTCTGCTGGTATTTGATAAACTAATTAATTAACTGGTAATTAATTAACTGGTACTATTTGATGCTCAGTTTGTCGTGTCATTTTATAAACACAATCTCAATTCATTCTTCAACAATCAGTATCTCTTCTCTCTCCTCAGTTGAAACCTCAGATAACTCTCAAACCTCTATCCCCTAGTCCTACTTGCTCTAACTCTGAATCTTAACACAATCGTCTACAAAAATTTGTAGCGATAACACCAAGCCCATCAGAGAGATTGGACAAAACAACTAAATCCGTGTCGCCGCCTGCACTGCAGGTGGACTCCAGCTTCGCCTAAAAGTGAACCGAAGTGAACCGGAACTAACGGACAGAACAAGGCTACGAACTCAAAAACTACGGCTCACTGACAACTGGAAGAGTAATCAACGCCAGGAAACAGAAAAAACCTACTTAGTTTTCAAAAATTTTTAACTTTTGAATTTCGAAGAAAAAAGTAGATGACCTTGAAGCTCTTTGAAATTTTAGAACAATTTATGATGGACACTTTTTTGCTAAAATTAGCCCAATTTGAGAAAACTGGATCAATAGGTCAAATTTTTATTTCGCTGGGAAAATTTATAATTAATTTCCATTTTCGTAATTAGATGTCGATCACGTTTTCCGTGACCTTTATTATTTTGCTGTTCGATAGTGGAGTTTGCTTTCCTTTTAAAAATAGAAATACACTGAACTTGAAAATAAATCAAAATTCAAACCGCGAAAAATCAAAATTGAGCGTGAACTAATTTTAAGCATTTTCCCGAAAAAAAATCAGCAAGACCTAGATTCGAGTACGTTCATTACTCTTAAAAAAGCAGAAACAAAATTGCGATCAGGACAGACGACGAAGATCCCAGAAAGATTCATCGCAGGTAACATAGAAAGTGACGAGCTAGAAGGGATCAACCTTATATATCTGGAAAAGCTACATTTCGACGACAAAACACCGGCATTATTTACCGTCGAAAACGACCGGCAGAAACAATTGCGCGAGCAGATTTAACAAAAAACGCTCAAAAATCTCTGGAATATGAACAAAAAATGGAGGCAATGTCAGCTTTTAACGAAAAAAAAATTGATATACTGAAATCGGAATTGGTAACAGAAAAACGGTTTTAGAATAGATTGGATAATTAAAATACTGCAAATTTGTCTACAAATTGATAAAAGTACAGATTTGCAGATGACCACCAATGTCATCCAGCAAAAAAATTATCAACGGAAAAAAAATCGAGTACATGGTTGCAACACCCTTGTTTATCGCAAGGCAAGGGTAAAAAAATTAACCGCTTTTGAGCGGAGGTTCATAATCTAATTGTTATTAACAAATTTTTCTAGAAAAGCTAAGAAATATAATCTGTACACTATAATTGGAAGCAAAAATTGAAATCTTGTCGAGAAAACAAAAATCAACCAACAAAAATTCAGCAAAAAAAGCTCAAGTCAAAGTTTTTGTAGTAATGCTTCGGTAACCCTGTTTTACGACGGTGTTGACAGTTGCACCGGGCTCTTTAGTGGTTGTTCTGTTCTCAGTGTTAGTTTTGGCCCCTTTGCTGCTCAGCCTTCTGTTGCTCTCACTGTTGACGAGGATGGTGGGTGCCTCCTTCACTTCCGCTCGTCCGTGCATTGTGTGGATCTCAATGCTGTTTGCTCTACTTTTCCTGAAAATAATCAACTTTGAAATTCATATTAAATACGCATTTAGCGATATCCTTGCGCAGTATTGTCAATTTTGTAATCAAAAATATATATTGTATCATAAGACATCAGTGAATTTTTGCTAGGTTTAAAAAAATGTTTTTCCTTGGTCTCCTAAAAAGTTGAGACTACGGACTTTGCAAAGATTTTCCACGCCACCAGTAAATTTTAGGAAACATTAGGGTACTAAAGAAAGGCTTTTGAGCAGGGTCAGATTTAGAAATCGCGGGGGCGGGGGGCCCTCTTTGTACTTTTTTGAGATATCCATATTTGGTGACGGACCCTAACAATTTTCTAAGGGCGCCTTTGGCGCCAATATACAATAACTCTGCGGGGGAAAGCGCGCGCCGATAAATCGAGATTTTTGGTCAAAATTTTCCAAAAAGTGCCTGAAAACGCCTTTTGACCTGTTTTTTCAAAACTTTGCCCGCGGCGCAGAAAATATGGCAAAACAGGGTCTTTTTGGTGCTTTGGGAGACCTCGGAAAATCAATTTGGTCGACCTCAAAAGAAGGTCGAAAAAGATGCGCCCCTGCCTTTGAGGGTTTTAAAGCCTTAAGAAAGTATTCAAGGCAACTCTTCGGACAGTGAAGAGATAAGTTTATCTGGAAATTGACAGCCCCATAATCTTTTATCGGTTCTCAAATAGTTCTGGCAAACATTAGAGTAAAATTTATTTGATTTAGTTTCAATATCGAGCCTAAATTCATCGTTGCTTAGAATAATATAAATGCCAAGTCACTCTCTGTCTCACTTGGTTTTTGAGGACTTTTCGCTGGCCTCTTTAAACCTCACTGTATTCATCGTAGATTGCGAGTGGTTCCTGGACTTGAGACCCTTTCCAGCTCCTCCTCCACTATTTCTCCGTTGCTTCTTCAAATCGTCTTGAGATTCCCCGGTCTCTCCTCGACGTTCTTCTATCTCCTCCTTTTCCTAAGCCTCTTTTTCAGTCCCCCTCCCCTTCGGAGTTCTATTGAATTGCAACTGAGAAAACTCACATTGAAACCATTCATGTTAATAGAACTCATTCGACCCCCTGCCGACCCAAAGGGTCCCCCCTTTGAACTATTTTGAGATATCTATCTTTGGCGGACGGACCCCAAAATTTTTCTAAGTGCGTCATCGCCGCCAATATATACTAATTTTGAGGGGAAGCGCGCGCCGAATAAACGCAATTTTTCGGTCAAAAATTTCCAAAAAGTGCCTAAAAACGTTTTTTTTTTCAAAAAATTGCCTGCTGCGCTGAAATTGGGGCCAAAACAGGGTCTTTTTAGTACTTTGGGACAGCTCGGAAAATCAAAATGGTCGACCTAAAAAAAGATCGACAAAATAATCGAAATTTTTTTCAAATCCGCCTCTCGAGAAATCCTAGATCCGTCCCTGACTACGGTCCTTGTCCTCACTTTTACGTCTTCACTACTCGTCTTCACTACTACATATCAATGGAAATAACTTCTTAAATACCAAAAACGTGCGTCATAAAACCAAATACTTTTCATGGTCGTTTTGACGACGGAGAGAGAAAACTGAAAAGTAGCCCCCCTTGTTGCTGCCATAGTTTTCGTCTATCATCGACGTCTCTTCTGGCATTGTGGTCTGTCTGCTGCGACTGTTTTTGCTATCTTCGTCCACATCGATGGGCTAAAGAAGACAACGACAGCCATTTCCAACTTTTTCAAGAGTGTCTTCATCACTATTTAGATGTTAATTAAATAACTCATTTTTCGTAGTCAAGTAAAATTTTTTGTTTGTTTTTCAAAAAAGCGCTGAAATTATCTTTTGGAGATCATCTGCTTTTAGCTCTAGACCGCGCACTAATTTCAGTCCATGAATTACAGCCTCAAATCTCAAATTGATCTTCTAAGCAGATGTTTAGAGCCTTATAAAACAGCACGGTAGAGACTTAAATTTATAAAACAGCACGGTATCTTTATATTTGTTTTAGTCTTTTTTTAGTGATCGGGTCCAAAGTATTTGAAGTTAGCTCTGAGAACTGATTGCATCTTGCCTAATTAATTTCAAACAACATTTTGGTCTAATTACTAGCGTGAACTGACATCAGACCTGAAGCCTGAAATGCCATTTTACTCTGATCGGAAAAATAACTTCGGCCAAATTTTTTCGACAAGGCTTCTTTGGAATCATATCCACGCCTGAATGAGCTTCATTAGATATCACACTCAATCGCCTGCGAGCATTCATTGAGGCACTGGGTTTTGCTCAGATGGAAAATTCGAAAATTAAAATCATCTACAAAAACAAGTGCTTCTTGTATCAAAAATTCCATTATTTTTTTGGAGAACAAAATTTATCCTCTGGTATATGAATTTGAAAATTAAGCTTCAACTGATTTGAAAAACTCATCTACTCAAAAATCCTTCTATTAGTTTACCAATATAGCATATCATAAAAAACAGAGCTTAAAAAATTTAATCACTGAAAATTTCAATTTACTGAAAATTTCAATTTTAAAAAAAAAAATCTTTCAATTCGAAGAAAAACAAAGCCAACAAGCAATTGGAAAAATGTCGATAAACTTTTAAAAATCTTAAAACAACATGAGATTGTTTTTGACAAACTTTCATTGCATTGCAATACTTTCATTGAAATTTAGTATATCAGCTGAAATCTCTTTCATTCCCATTAATCCTTTATGATAGGCACTAATTCAATAAATACATAACTCCAATATGAGAAAAATGGAAAAATCATGTAACAAAAATTTTTGAAACTGAAACTAATTACGTTTTTTCACGCCATTGACAAACGAACAAACTTCAAACCGCATAAAGCAAAATTAGAGCGTTATCAAGTTCGGTTAACTTTCCCTGGAACAAAAAAAAAACACGTCAGAAACTAAACTCTTCACTTCGTTCATGGGCACTTAAAACTTTACAACTTCTCCAAAAAAAATCGGTTGAAATAACTGCAATTAGATCACTAACACATCATTATCCAGAACAAAATTTCGCGCAAGATCCATTTACCGAAAGCGTAGTTGCAGGCACGCTTCACAAAAGCTTTTCAAAATTTTAAACCATCAAATGAGCATTCCGTGTGACCACCGGTTTTTCAGATAAAAACTGCCGAAAATTACACAAGAAAAAGAAACGTTAAAATTCATTCCGCTCAATGTTCCAAAGGAAAAACGGAAAAATTGCGCTCGAGATGATTTTTCACACCCAAAATTTGAACTTGAATAAGTCATTTTTGGCGGGACTTTTAAAATCATCTTAAGAAAATTTACGTTGAGCTCAAAATGAAACAACTTTTCCAGCTACTAGTTTTCATAGTTATGATGGCTTGAACAATGCCAGTTTGAGATAACTAACGGCCAATATATTAAACCCGGCTGAAATGTGCGGAGAAATTAAAAATTCAACAGCAAAAATTTAAATTTGGGCGTGAACACATCTTAAAAATTTCTTGCAAAAAAAACAGAAACCAATCACGACCTATTTAAGATTTTTCACGACGCTCACTGACCATCAATACAAAAATTAAAACAAGAAGCCAATTAAGATTCTCGGCACCATTTGAAGTTTCTCACAGGAAATCGTAATCGGCCTTCGAATTATCAAACTATTTGAATTGAACCAAAATCGATAGTCATAATGCAAAAACTTAAATCGAGCATGAACAAAATCTTCAAAAAACAACCAGAATAAGTTTGGAGTCTTCAGTCTTCAGTATACTCTTAGACATGAATAGCCATCACCGAGAATTTGCTTCACCAAAAAGCACGATTCTTGAAGGGTGGCAAATTGCCTAGCTACCCATCTAACGACTCCGAGCGTTGTAAAATCACAGGTATTAACCCTTCCAATTACATCAGAAGCTGTGCAGAGTTAAAAGCGTTGTTGAGGTTAACATTCATGGCAACTTCGGGAAAACCCATTTTCCACAAACAGCATTCAACAATCATCAGGGGATCTTGTATAACACAATCCCTCGCTCCTGGTCTCTAATGCAGGAGGATCTTGGAAACAGTCGTCTCTATCCGAAGCCTGTGAGACAACTATTCACACTAGTTCGGCGGCTTCCAAGACCGCGTCGCAAAAATGTCGAGTGACCCCCAAGCAAAAATGTCGAGTGACCCCCAATTGCGTTTGACCCCCAAGCTTCCCAATTGCGTCTTGAAGCAATGGGCAAAAAGTCGTACGACATTGGCAGACATGGACTCGATCGAGCTGCTGGTGACGTACGGACCAACTCAATTTATAAATCGCGCTGGCAATAGGAAGTAAAATACCAGCCCAGCGCCCCAAACTCTCAGACCGTGTCCCCAGGATACACCGGGGTAGATCCAATTAATGCAGCCCTCACCGCAAAGGAATACATCACACTACGAGGTGCCACACTGAGTAAATTCACTGACACATAACCAAGCTGAAAAATTATAGGCGCTTAAGACATAACCCTACATAATCGAGACAAATGTACATTCATTCATAGGGTGCATTTTCATAGGGTGCAAACACAATGCAAACTCAGCATTTAAAAACCCTTTTCAGCAACACATAGAATTTGTCTCCTATCTCTTGCTCTAATTTAATTAAAAGTAGCGGACCCTCTACAGCTAAAGTGGCTCCGGAAAAATGGTATCACACATTTCTAAAAGAAATAGTTCTGCATTTAAGTTGGTTGATGGTGTGATCAGTGAAATATTCCTACCTGTATTTTTCCCTATTAATATTAAATGCAGCAAAGCATGGAAAAACAAAACCAGAAACGTAAAGGAATCAAGTTTTGACTGGTGAATCTTAAAGTACCTCAGCTGGTATTTGAGCTGAGAATTTGTCCTTCACTTCGCTCTCGTAAGTTCTCTCTGCCATCGATGCAACGGGTGGCTGCACTTGGAGGAACTCACCGGGTTCATAATACATGGAAGAACCCCCTGCCAATGCCCCTCCCCCTCCCCCTCCCGGTGCCATACTGCTGCTCAAGTTAGCTCCTTTGGTCATGGGCGAGGATGACTGGTAGTTTCCACTCCGGTCTATCGTTTTGGGGGAACGACTTCGCGATCTAAGAAATGAATGAGGATCTTCATCTAAGAATTACCAACGATCATTTTGAAAGGGGAAAAACTCCGTGCATTTCGACCAATTTTAAACGGAAAAAAGCAATATAGTTGCACGTCGCATTCAAGTGACAAACAAATCGCCCAAAAAGCTTCAACTGCCAATTTGATGATAAGTTTAGCCTGGAATAGAAATTAAGTGATACCATGTGGATTTGATAGTGAGGAACTGTCACATGCAATTTTCCAAATTCTGGCCATAGTGTAGTACATCACGTATGCTTGTGTAACAAAAACAGGCCAAAAAAATGCATGCATTTTCAAAAATAATTGGGAAAAATATTTTGTGCGGTTTAAATTCTCTAAATCAAAAATATGCAATTAAATTTGCAATTTGCAATAAAAAAATCAACCTTTATTACAGCACAAGCTCCGCGTAGTTTATTTATAAGAAAAAACAATGGTGAGACAGTGCATACTAACGTGCATACTTACACTTTTTGGATATAATCTTCACCGCCGACTGTGTTTTAGCACTGGTTTATTTGCTTCGAAAGACTTGCCACCAAAAAATAGCATACATTCTCCTTAAATCGATATTCACCGGTTTTAACTTCGAAACACGCTTGCTTTTCCATGAAAGCCAACGACCAAAAATCAGCAACGTGTATAATATGAAGAAACCAAAGACAATCTGAAAAAAAATTATGAGGCAAAGACCATTTTTTCACAGGAACTAAGGTGGAACTCGTTGTTGGTCACAAACCTATTTGCAAATCCTCTTGTCGGTTGTCACATTATTTAAAGCTAGCAAAAACAAGAAAACACGGCAATAAACGGTTCAACCTCAGCAAGTAACCTGAACAAAAAATCTGATGCTGGCTATTTTATATTTCGAAAAAAATTATTTACTCTAAAACATTACAAGCTCCATTCCCAAGTTTAGGCAAAGTCAGTCATAGGCGTTGATAGGATGTGTCGTTGAAACAAGTAAAGATAGCGTTAATTGACTCAAATTAGGTAAAATAAATAATGTGAAACATAAACAATTGAAAATGGATTAAATACGCAAAAACTTGACCA